GGTTCTCTCTTCCAGGGAACATGGGGTTTTATGAAAGCCTATCTGAGAGGGTGTGAGAGCAGGGAGGGGTAGAGAATCAAGCCATGAGCCATCTGGAAGGGTGGAAGTAGTTTGTGGGGGAGCTAATAGGGTGGAATAAAATTGTTCAAAAATACCCAATACTTCATGAGGTAAAGAGGAGATGGTACCATTTTTAGTGCGCAACTTATATATATATGGGGGCCGTATAGAATGGTTCAGTTTCCGTGCAAACATAGTAGATGCAGAGTTACTATGTAATAGGAAAGAGGCCTTAGACCACCGTAAAGCTTTTTCAGTTTTCTGGGATAGTAAAGTATTCAGTTCTAGCCTCTTTTGCGATATCAACTTTTTGTTAAGGAGAGAAGGGTTGCCAACATGAGTTCTATAATGCATTTCTAATTCCTGGGTAAGTTTCTGAATTTGTTTCAACTGCTCCCTGTTCCTAGAGGATGCCATGGATATAAGGCGGCCTCTTAGGACCACTTTATGGGCCACCCACAGAGTAGCCGGGTAAATATCAGGAGTGGCGTTCAATTGAAAGTATTCTTGGATAGAGCTAACTACTTCCTGAGGAGAATTAACATCTGTAAGCATAGAATCGTTTAGTCTCCAGGAGTAGGGGGTAGGTGCTAGACCTATGAAAGTGATAGTGGCACTATGTTCTGATCCGACCAAATGCATATATGTATACACACCTTCCTGGAGTTGGCTAGCAATATGGGGGGAGCAATAGATATAATCCAGCCTAGCACAAGTCATGTGGGTGGGAGTAAAAAGAATAATCCCTCACTCCCATATTATGTGCCCTCCAGGAGTCTACCAGTTGGAATGTTTCTAGTTTTTTAGTGAGGGAATTTGGAAAGGCTGGGGAGGAAGGTGAGGACAAACTTCTGTCTAGAAGGGGGTACGCTACCAAGTTAAAGTCTCCTCCCACCAATAAATGGGGGGATAAGAACCTATCAAGAACTCTGAAGAAAAAAAAAAAAAAATACTTGCACCACATTAGGTGCATAAACATTGGCTATTGTGAGTGCATGACCTGAAAGGGTGCCTTTAATAATGATAAATTTGCTTTCAGGGTCACGATGAACATGTTGAACGTCAAGGGGGAACGAGTTATGAAGAAAAATTGCTACGCCTCTACTTTTAGTAGAATGTAAGGTGTAAAACCCCTGCTTGTAGGATCTGTGGAAATATGTGGGGTGTTTTAGCGGCTGCGAAATGAGTTTCCTGTAATAAAATAATCTTTGCCTCTAGACGTCTATACTGGAGGAAGGCCGTTTTACGCTTGTTTGGGGAATTGAAACCCTGGACATTATGTGAGATACAATGAACCACCATGGCTAAAAAAAAAATAAAAAAAATAGTATCAGTCAGCATTATTATAACCATCTGAAAAATATAAAAAAAAAAGGATGGTCTAATCAGTGGAGCATCTAGATCTGCATCGTACAAGATAAAATCTGTCAGTAGCATTTTATGAAACAACCCAGCCCCCAAATTGTGGCCGGGATCTCCACAAAATTGTGTGCGACTACCATCATGTACCAATGTTATAAAAAAAAAAAAAACTTAAAAACAATAGAAGTAGGGCTCTAGGAGCCACTATAACAAAAGAAATCACAATAATCCATAGATCAGATAGGCTAGCTGCCTTTCCTGAAAGGACATAGAAACTTATCAAAAGGGCCAACCGGGCCCAAGCCCCGCCATCGTAATACATCGTAAAACATTGGGAGCAGAGCGGCCACTACTCTTCTGGGTAGTGTCATTTCCAGCCATGCTCGGTGACAGGGTCACGTGTCAAGGAATCACATGAAATCAGCATACGGACTGTAAATAAAGGGTTCTTAGACCCATGTAAGGAAAATGTTTTGCACGTCCAAATATCTAAAGGATTACGCAATATTAACAACATGTATGAATATAATAAGGCTACAGCATGTCTCAATATCTGATCAATATAATGAATTATATGAAAATGAGCAAAGATCCTTTCAACTCGGATCTTGTCTGACACTCCTTTCCCTTCGTGGAGATGGAGTGTTCCAGATAGGAGATAGCAGAGGGGTGGGGGGTGGACTTTAAGGTGAAGGAGCGTTCGCCAGGCCTAGCTTAGCCAGAATTTCTCGTCCCTCGAGAGATGTAGCTGTGTATGTGCTGCCATTGTGTGGATCAACTTAAAGAGAAAGCCCCACTTGTAGCGGCAGCAAGCCGAGAAAAGGGCAGATGTGATTTCCTTCATTTTTTTTTGCGCTTCTTCAGCATAGCAGGAAAAACATCCGGAAAAACTTGCAGAGTTGTACCTTCGAAAGAAATCGTGACAGTATTGCGAGCAGCCCTTAGTATATTTTCTTTGGTCAGGAAATCTTTCATATACAGAACGATGTCTCGAGGCGGTTTATCGTTAGGGGGTTTTGGGCGTAGAGCTCTACGGATACGGTCACATGCAAAGGATCTAAGGTCATGGTCTGGAAGAAGAGACTTAAAACAATTTGGATGTAGCTTGTAAAAGATCAGTCACTGTTTTCGGAATTCCCCGAATGCGCAGATAAATCCTGCAATTATCGAGATCCTCCACCTGCGCCTGCAACTGTGTAAATGCCGTATGTAAGTGGTCATGATCTCTGGAGAGCTCGCCATAAGCCAAGCTGAGCTCATCATGTTTCGTTTCTAAACGGTCAGCTCTGGAGCCCAACGCAGCCATTTCCTGAGAGAGGACATTTGTACTCTTGAGGAGTTCTGATTGGAATTTAGCAGCCAACTTGGTGTACATAGTCTCCAAACAAGATTCTAAGTCCCGCTTTGTAAGTTGCTGTGCATACTCACTGTCCTGTGTAGTACCCTGCACAAGGTGGGATGGGGATGCTCAGTCGGAATTATCTTGAGACATGCTGCAAATTTCCTGCGTCTTCAGTAAATATGTTGTAATGGATTTTTGAGCATTACCCCTACTTTTCTTCTTGGTGGACAGCATGCAGGAAGTCTCCTGGGGGTGATCAACTGAAAATTATATAGCAAAGGATGCAAATAACCCCAGGGGACCTATACAGCCCGATGCAGATATAAGGATGCGACTACATAGGTGCGATTAGATACCGCAGGGCAGTCTGTATATTGTAAAAATGAATGTCACCGTGAGGGAGGAGGTAGTATTTATAAACTTTAAGTATATGATCACAATAAAGGCCAGGGGCCCAGATGCAGGCCCCAGACTCTGTGGTAGTGCTGACAGGCACAGGGGCTATTATCCTGTAGACCCCTGGGGTGCTGGCTCCGGAGCCCTCCAGAGGGGATGCAGGGAGCACAGATCCTTCTCCCCCCAATGGCTGTCCGCCACAGCAGGCTTTCAGGCCCAGTAGGGGGTCCATTTTTATAGTCCCCTTATATGGAGGGCCTACGAGGCCGTAACCTCTGGCCACAGTCCCAATACACCGCACTTACGTGTCTGGCCAGCAGATGGATGCGAGTCCGGCGCCGAACGAGGCAGCGATAGCCCACCGCCCCGGAGGGGAGGGGAAAAAAAAAACAAAAAAAAAAAAAAAAAAACACTTGGCTCCCCTCCACAGAGTACAGAAAGGGACGGCGGGGCCTCCGGTGCCTACCACAGGTCTGCTGGAGATAATTGACAAGATCCTCATGTGTAGTTCTGCGATGATTCCGCACTGTTCTCATGATCATTGACACTCCACGAGGTGAGATCTTGCATGGTGCACCAGACCTAGGGAGACTGATAGTTTTGTCTTTCTTCCATTTGTGAATGATTGCACCAACTGTTGTCACTAGAGATGAGCGAATCGAAGTAGGCGAAGTGGAATTCGTTTCGAATATTAGGAAAATTTCGATTCACGTCGAATCCGAAAATAAGCAGACTTGGGATGCGCGAATCGAAATTTTTCCTAAAATGGCGGCGACATAGCGGGGGTGTCTGGGAAGGCGCACAGACAAGGCGCGCTGACCCATAATGCATTCATTCATGACATGTGATCGCATTAGCCAATCAGCAGCCAGCAGCAGCACAGTGTAATGGTCGAGCTATAAATGGCGGCCATTTTAGAATTCTCCATTTGCCTCCAGTCATTCAACAGAGGCAGACCTGGCTGTATTCAGGGAGAGAGTTAGGGCCACAGAAACGTTACTTAGGGCCAGACAGAATTGTTATTGAGGGCCACAGAAACGTTACTTAGGGCCACAGAAATTGTTACTTAGGGACACAGAATTGTTACAGGGAACGTTTACTTAGGGCCACAGAAACGTTACTTAGGGACAGACACAGAATTGTTATTGAGGGACACAGAATCGTTACTGAGGGCCACAGAAACGTTACTTAGGGCCACAGAAACGTTACTTAGGGCCACAGAAACGTTACTTAGGGCCACAGAAACGTTACTGAGGGCCACAGAAACGTTACTGAGGGCCACAGAAACGTTACTGAGGGCCACAGAAACGTTACTGAGGGCCACAGAAACGTTACTCAGGGCACAGAAACGTTACTCAGGGACACAGAATTGTTACTCAGGGACACAGAATTGTTACTCAGGGACACAGAATCGTTGAATTAAAGAGTATGTCAGACAACATGCAGAGGAGTGGCAGAGGAGGCAATGTTTTAGGAGCGAGCAGATGTGGCAGCAGAGGAAGGGGTCGAGGCAGCACTATTCGCAGCCAGAGGCCAGTGCTCCCGGTGTCATCCAGTACAGTGAGGAAGAGCTAACAGAGGGCGGTCAGGAACGGGGGGAGACATCCGCCTCTTCAGCAGCCAGGCGAAGAAGTAGTGGCGAGGAGAGTGGCTTGGTAGCCGGTCTAGAGACAGGTCTGTCTCCTGACCCACACGCAGCCGAGGGGGCTGGTAGTGAGGCGGAGACCCTAATTGATGATGAGGCTGATCGCACTTGGCAGCCTCGTCGTCATCAGGCTATTGCTTCCGCATCATCAGGAGAAGAGGGTGGCAGCTTGGCAGCGAGCAAAACAGTCGGTGGGTTGTCTCCATCGCCACACTCTGCCATGTGCCACTTTCAGGTCTCCTCACACACTGCTGGTGTGTTCCATTTTTTGTCATAGGGTGCTGGCAGATTACGGGCCTCCCATAGCTGCTGCCAGGCCCCTAATCTGCCATGGGCCCCTGTACCGCCTCCTCATGCTGCTGCCAGGTCCAGAGTCTCTCATGGGTCCCTGTACGGCCTCCCATTGCTGCTGCCAGGAGGCAGCAGGGTCGCAGCAGTGTCAGTGGAGGCAAACGGCCACGGAGTAGAGCACCAGCTCCACTGCAGCCTACCACCACGGCCAGTAGTGGTGCCGGTGTGCACGGAGGAAGTAGCAGTCAGCCAGTGAGGAGTAGCGGGGGCAAAGTTTCCTACTCGGCGGTGTGGCAATTTTTCGTCAAGCCGCCCGAGGAAGTAAACGTAGCCGTATGTCGAGTATGTGGCCAGAAAGTCAAGCGTGGCCAGGGGGCCCATGTTGGGACTACAGCGTTGCGTCAGCATATGCAGCGTCGCCATTCGGTGGCCTGGGAAAACCGTGATAAAGATACGGCGGTTCTGCCTGCCCCAGCCCAGGGTTCCATTTTGTCATAGGGTGCTGGCAGATTACGGGCCTCCCATTGCTGCTGCCAGGCCCGTAATCTGCCATGGGCCCCAGTACCGCCTCCTCATGCTGCTGTCAGGTCCACAGTCTCTCATGGGTCCCTGTGTACGGCCTCCCATTGCTGCTGTCTCCATCGCCACACTCTGCCATGTGCCACTTTCAGGTCTCCTCACACTGCTGGTGTGTTCCATTTTTTGTCATAGGGTGCTGGCAGATTACGGGCCTCCCATAGCTGCTGCCAGGCCCCTAATCTGCCATGGGCCCCTGTACCGCCTCCTCATGCTGCTGCCAGGTCCACAGTGTCTCATGGGTCCCTGTACGGCCTCCCATTGCTGCTGTCTCCATCGCCACACTCTGCCATGTGCCACTTTCAGGTCTCCTCACACACTGCTGGTGTGTTCCATTTTTTGTCATAGGGTGCTGGCAGATTACGGGCCTCCCATTGGTGCTGCCAGGCCCGTAATCTGCCATGGGCCCCAGTACCGCCTCCTCATGCTGCTGCCAGGTCCACAGTCTCTCATGGGTCCCTGTACGGCCTCCCATTGCTGCTGCCAGGCCCGTAATCTGTCATGGGCCCCTGTTGTCGCTTGTTGGCATATTCCGCTCGTTCAGACGCTCCTTCTCCTGCTACTCCTCTTCACGGATTCCGTCAGCAGTCTTTCTTGGAATCCGTTTCCAAGAGACAACAGTTTGCGAGCACGCACCCGACGGTGCAGAAGCTGAACGTCCTCCTGTCCAAGTTGCTGCTGCCAGGCTCGTAATCTGTCATGCGCCCCTGTACCGCCTCCTCATGCTGCTGCCAGGTCCAGAGTGTGTCATGGGTCCCTGTACGGCCTCCCATTGCTGCTGCCAGGCCCGTAATCTGCCATGGGCCCCCGTACCAACTCCTCATGCTGCTGCCAGGCCCGTAATCTGTCATGGGCCCCTGTACCGCCTCCTCATGCTGCTGCCAGGTCCAGAGTGTGTCATGGGTCCCTGTACGGCCTCCCATTGCTGCTGTCTCCATCGCCACACTCTGCCATGTGCCACTTTCAGGTCTCCTCACACTGCTGGTGGTTTCCATTTTTGTCATAGGGTGCTGTATGGCCTCCCATTGCTGCTGCCTCCACACTCTGGTCTTGGCCCCGTGACTGCCCAAATGAGTGAAGTGTGCGGTGATTCTAAGATCGACGGCACTCATCTGCATGTCATACTGACTGACAGTATTATTTCTCTTCCCCAGCAGACTCCAAGGGCATTTAAATTAAAGGTACAGTGTTCTGCACTAATATAAAGGCTCTCTGAAGCCTAGAAACACCCTTTTATAAGTTAAATTCGCAGCGAATATATTCGACTCGAATCAAAATTTTTCCACGAATTCGCCGAATCAGTCGAATCGAATTTTTGAATACTTCGCTCATCTCTAGTTGTCACCTTCTCACCAAGCTACTTGGTGATAGTTTGGTAGCCCAGTCCAGACTTGTGTAGGTCTACAATTTTGTCCCTGACATCTTTGAACAGCTCTTTGGTCTTTGCCATGCTGGAGAGTTTGGAATCTGTTTGATTGCTCCTGTGCACAGGTGTCTTTTATACATTTCAACAAAAAGATTAGCAGCACCCCCTTTAAGAGACTGCTTCTAATCTCAGTTACCTGTATGAAAGACACCTGGTAGCCAGAAATCCTGCTGAATGATAGGAGATCGAATACTTATTTCCCTCATGATCATGAAAATCAGTGCATAAATTTGTTAGACATGCATTTCTTTTGAATTTTTGGTTGCTATTCTGTCTCTGTGTGTTACAATACACCTACCATTTGATTTTTAGACTGATAATTTCTTTGTGAGTGGGCAAACATTCAAAATCAGCAGGGGATCAAATACTTATTTCCTTCACTGTATGTGCTATACCCCACTAATGCCTGTAAATATGAAAAATCCTATGATCTTGGTAATTAGTCTGTTTTGGGTTACAGACAGTTACTGCTGATCTGAGATAAACATAAGTACCTCCATGTGGAGTTGCTGCTGCGCCTATTGGTGTCCATAATGAATATTGTTTTTTAAGAGTAAGAGTAAGTGTGGATACACTGTGGAATTATAGCAGACCTACCAGCCTTCCCTCAGATAAATTATAAGATATTTTTATTTAATTTATTCCAGGTACTTCTACCGTCAAATAACCTACCAGGATGTCTTTGGGGTGTGGGAGGAAACCGGAGATAGGAGTTTTTTTTTTTTACTTTACAGAGTGGGAGTGCTGTACCAATTGCCCACTCCTTCGGTCCACTTTTGAGTCTGGGCACCCATCTCCCCCCCAGGCAGCGGAGTTGGTTGCTCTGTCTGGTTGACCATGGTCACCTTATGAAGCACCATGGTTAGGCAAAGCCCATGAGTGTAGATTTTATGTTAGAGGTGAATACATTAGGTATATTAATCATTTACCACTGATTAGTATTGATACATGATTAACACTACATATGTTAATCATGCTTTCCCTTGATTTTATTTTTATGTATACATAATAGATGTTAATCATACTGTCTATTGATTATATTCTCTTTAATACGTTTTTTTATATGGCAGATCACCAAGTAGCAAGTCTTCCTGATGAAATATGAAAAATTTCCGAAATATGCTGAACAAACCACTAACCAACATTTGTCAGTATATTGCACTTTACCTGTAATTAGGCACTTTAGACTGAGAGCTGCAGAGTTTATATCATTGGCTGACAAATATTAGCCAGCTGTTTTAAAGTATGACATACTGTACGTTGTAATAAAGTATTTTTTATACCTGTGTGGATATTGTTGGTACCTTAAAAGTCCCATAAATGGTAAATGGGGATGGTACAGATCATCAGCAGGCTGGAGTTAGGGAAAATCTGTAGACTGCTGGCTGTACATTGCTCTTAACGAATGTTGTGGTCAGAGTGGGTGTATCAAAACAAAAAGACAAACCAATATTTTTTTTAATATTCATCTTTACATGGCAAAATTTGCCACATTATGAAAGCAATGAAATCAAGTCCAAAATGCCCGTAGAAAGAATTTTTTTAAATAACAAAATTAGTAAACCATTAACACATCATAGGAAAAACTACGCTGTAAAAATAATTCAACACCTAAATTTTACATACCTGTGGATTTGAAAATTTAACTTTGGGATTATTATCTATCTCCCATAAACCTTCATTGAATCCTTTTCGTTTGTTGGGTTTGCCATACTTCTCCTTATTTTCATCATATGGGAATATGTCCTTTGGTCCCAAAAAAGCCCTTCAAAACAAAAAGAAATTATTTTCTAATTTGTGGCACACATACAACAAACATAACAAACCAATTTTTGTTTTCTTTATGTGAATGGACTGCCAATCAATAACTGTTACATGTTTAGTCATTAATTGGTTTACCAAGTAATCAGAGCAACGCTTTGTGAAATCTCACTTACTCTGTTCATCACGTCTACTAAGGTAGTTTTGGTACAAATTAAGAATTTAAAAGTTCAGAACCCCACAGCTACCAATCAGAAAATTGTGCTATGGACCACAGTAATAAGCTGCAGTGTGTTTCTATGCTTTGCACTAACTTCCCACACACGTGTGTGTAACTACTTGCCTACATATACAGTAGAATCACTAAGCAACTTCTACTGCAATCCCTTTAAGAGTTAAAATAGATACACTCACTGAAGTTTGCTAAAAAGCACTTTACTGTGCATCAGAAAACATTTGCATCTCCCCTCTCCTCATTTGTCATCCTTTGACTCTAACTGCTGTTGATCTTCATGCAGCCACTATTAAAATTCAGCCACTGCAGCCATAGCTGCATAGCATTTCTCAGTGCAGGGTTCCTGTTGGTGACAAGAGTGCACTATGTCTGTGCAACACGTGTCAGCAAAGCAGCTTGTAGATTCTATTGGGAGAGCATGCGACAGGCTGAACACATGAGAGCAATTGAGAGAGACAAAAAAAACAAAACAAAAACATTGTCACTATAACAGAAGTGCCTGCAGAAAGTACTTCATGAGGGGCTCATCAGGTATTTTAATATTGAAAATTACTTTGGAAATTGCACTAAAGAGGAATTTAAAAAGATAAGATCACCTTCAAAAAAAAAAAAAAAAAAAAAAAATTAAAATAAAATGCACATCTTTTTGCAGGTTAAAATACTTGCACATTTACAATTTTTTTTTTCCCCTTAGGAGCCTGCAAAGCATTGCAGCTGCGACCTACAATGTCAGGACATTTCAGAGGGTGAGCTGCAGGAGCATGTTACACATTCCACCCTAAAAAGTGTATCATTAAACATGTCCCTGAAGATGAACTTTTGAAGTTTTCCTCTAAAAGCGGAGTTCCACTCACTCTGTAAAAAAAAAAAAAAAAAAAAAAAAAAAATGAAAGTCAGCAGCTATAAAAACTGTAGCTGCTGACTTTTAAAATTAAAAACAGCCACTCACCTGTCCCATGATCCCTTGGTGTCCTCCCCACAGTTCGTCCTGTGTTCCAGGCGCTGGCATCTTCAGTGTGGGCACCTGGCTGCGCTTCCTGAATGGCACTGTAGTCTTCTGGGACCTGTCACGTGTCCCGGAAGACTATGGGGAGGGAGGGAGGGTAGGACGACAACTTCCGCTCACCTAGGCGATCGCAGCAGAAGTGTGAGCGGGTACCTGTCAATTTCAGGAACTTCTTTAAAGCGGACCTTCCCCTTTTGGGTGGAACTCCGCTTTATCTCTGGAAGCTGTTCTCCCCGCGTATCAGAGCTGATGGAACACTTCCGGATGTAGAGACCACTCGCCCTGAACCAGTATCTGATGGCCGAGATAATCTGCTTGCCAGTTTTCGATGCCTGGAATGTGTACAGCAGACAGAGCTGGAATGAACCTCTCCGCCCATTGCAGAATGTGAGATGCCACCAGCGCCGATGCTGCACTTCTTGTGCCCCCCTGATGACTGATATATGCCACCGCAGTGGCATTGTCTGACTGAATCCTGGTCAGCAGACTCAACAGACGGTCTGTCCAATGAGTCCGTGACAGCCTGATTGCCCTAAGCTCCACGAGGTTGATGAAAGCGAGCTTCACCGGAGTCCATTGACCCCGAGCAGAGCCCACTCCCAGGACTCCTCCCCAGCCCGACACGCTGGTATCTGTTGTGACCACAGTCCAGCGAATGGGGAGAAAAAAAAACAGACTTTCCATTCCGTAGAGCCAGGGACT